CCGAAAGCAACTTACACAGAACAAATGACATTCATAAATCGAGGGATGCGCGTATTTCTGCGGTCTGTTTTCTACTGCGTTATTTTTCTTGTTCATGTTACACAGTTTCTAATTTCTCTGATAAATCTCATGTTCATTCAATACACATTCCTTATGACAGATTTTACTGTGTAATGTAATACGATACAGATCTGAACGCCATGCTTCAAACATTAGGATTAACATAGCGCTGAGGTTCTATTGAGCTTCATTTCATTTTACAATAGGACCTGTGGACCTGGGAAGGGCATGGTTCGTAAGAAATAATGAAAGACCTGACTTTGCTTTTTTTTGTGGACATTTGCTTACATTCCACTGTACCAAACAAGTGTACAAAAACAGGTCTATCTAATTTCAAACACACAGTACATCACTACAGGAGAGGAAATCATTTTTCATTTTCTTTCAAGGCAGTTTGTGTAAGCAAACAAGCTGTGCCAAATATAGCGGCTGTTCCAGTCCTCAGTGATACGCCGTCTTCCAAATATTGATATGTGACAACGGTGAGGCACACACAATCAACACAGCGGACATGAAACTGGGGAATAAAACAAAAAAAAGTCTACATAAACCAACAACGCAAAGTCTCTGGAAGAAGCAAAGTATTACTACTTTTTACTGGTAATGGTCCAAATATTTATTATTCGGAACTTTGTTTTCTTAAACAGAACATATGAATTGTAACACACTCTTCACACCCACAACAAAAAATATTTTAGATCACAAACATGTGTGCACGCGTATGTATGTGTTTGTGTGTGTGTGTATATATATATATATATATATATCTATAGACACACACACATGCATACGCACTCACACATACTTGCGTAGACATATACAGCTCGCTGTATGTACAACCCTACAGAAATTAATTTAAACTATGACTAGGATCGTTTATTCTCTTCCTACCATCATATAGGAAGAAACATTAAAAAAATAACCAACACAATTTAAAAAGGAACACATCATTATGACTAACTGGACAAAACTATATTTCACATTACTATCTGAACATCTTTAACATTTATTCCAAGTTTTTACATCAAATAAATAACAGTAGCAAATTTATCACAAATTAAATAAATACACGATCGATAACACAAGAATGAAACGTTTAATCATAAATTATAATATAATTATGAAGCTTTATATGTATCCATCTGTACATTATGTACTTGTTCTAATTGGCAGAAACAAATGTTTATAAACTAATGAATTTGGGTCCGGGGGGGGGGGCGGCAGGGAGAAGTAAAAGCGACAGATTTAAAAACTTGATACAACAAATGAAGAACATGCAATTATTACTACAAGTTTTTGAGACGATACAAGAATCAGAGGTACAGAATGTGGCATCATCTTTGCTTCTTCCATCTTAATAACAAAATGCATTAAAATGTTTGGCCAAATATATAACCATCCAGACACACATCAACATCAGACTGATGTATAGCAGACCACGTTATTTAAAATAATGGTGCTTTCCACCACGATTACTTCCGATCCCTTAAACACAAAAAGCAGCGGCTGTTCTCTGCGATCTTCAATTAAGGCATTTCAAAAAACCTAGAAACATGACTTTAAACAACAAAACATTCAACTTGTGCCCGCACTTAACAGACAGTACATTGAAACACTGGCTTAATTTATGTTTGCCAACATACCGTGAGAAATTCTTTCCACAGATTTTATCAGTTTTCTGTAAGCAACTTTATCACAACTCACAAGTAAATCACTCTGAATAAATTAATCAGAGAACACACAATGATGTTGATAAATATATAGATAGGCAATATCTGCATTGTAAATATATAGCACACTTCAAATGCAAAAAAAAAAAAGTCTTGTGTATAATATTGTTTTCCTTAAAAATTTGTTATCTCTGTCATACCAACTATTATTTCTAAAACCTTGGTTCACACAAAGAAGAATAGCTTCATTTGAAAACTCAAGTTACTAGGCACAACCTGATTTCTTCAAAATACTTGCTTATACGTCAGAATAAGTGCCAAAGCTCTTTACAGCATTACACTCATTATTTCTCAATTAATTTGTCCCAAGTCATGATCACCAAGGCCAAATCAAAACACTGATCAGAAGCATTCTACATCTGGTTATATGTAACTGAGGAAGAGGTAACTAAGCATATATTTTACTGAGAATTCGTGATGTTGCGTTAATATTTTGAAGGGATGAATCACGACTAAAATTTTAAAAAAAGTCTGGGCTAACGAACAAGCAGTAAAGTAAAGTAAAGCCATCCCACTATGCACCATGTAGGCGCTTGGGGGGGGGAGGAGGTATAGCTCCTACACATTCTTGACCTCAGCACTAGATGGGGGTGAGTGGTCAGCATCACGCCCCAGCTGCGCTTTACCCCCGGGAAAGGACCCCGGTACCCATTGGATAGGAGGCTGGGTGGGCCCCAGAGCCGATCTGGACGCAGAGGCTAGAGGAAAACTCCTCTGCCCCCTGTCGGGGATCGAACCCCGGTCGTCCAGTCCGTAGCCAGTCACTATACTGACTGAGCTACGCCAAAGAACAAGCAGTTCATTCTTTTACTTCTCCGTGACATTATTTTTTGACAACAGATTATACTGAAAAGCTTCTGGGTCTCTTAACACTTGTACTTTGAATTATTTCATTTAACACTACATTAACCTTAAGTAGGTATATTTAAGGTACTACAAGTATGTGCATCAGCAAATGTATACAACGGCACAAGCCCACAGAAGAGATGTGACTCGATATTCAATATGTCTGCTTTGCAAACCTTTTAGAAGCTATTACACCAATAACACATACTTCATTTCAACATATAAATGGCGGAAGTTAAAATATATTACCTATACTGATAATGAACAACTGAAATTCAAAACACATTTTAGCAACCAGACGAGGACATTTTATAAAACATTTATACACTATTCTTTGCTTCAGACACTGTTTTCTGATGTGTCATGCGTGATACCTGTCTACGTTAAACATGATCAATTCTGCCTATGATATAATATGCAAAAAACTATGTAATACACGGCAAAGAAAATTTACACAAATTTTCAGCTCGGTGCGTTTTGTTTACGTAAATTTAGCTAATACAAAGTTGTAATGATAAGCAGACCATATGAACTTTCTGCGTGACATAAAAGGATTTAATTAAGGTTAAATGTGCATCTGGCCTATTATAATACTTTCTTACAGTCCTGAAAAGTAAAAATAAAACTGTGGATAGAATATTGGTGTTTATAAAGTGTGAAGTGCAATAATTTATATTATGGCCAGCCATGTCAGATTTGGATATCTAATTGTGGAATATAGGGTGATAGACAAAATTAGAAAAAAGTTATTATCAATATAACTAATGTACCAACATAAATACCCCTTTTTATGGAGAAACTTCCCAATAATTAATCTTCTTAATGACTATACAGTGTACATTCATTATGATATTTTGGAAATACTTAAATTTTAAGACATATGAATTTACTAAATTACACAAAGGATAAATGTAGAAACTATATTCATGCCTTGCAAATAAAACATTTATTATGGCATTCAATTTCAGTATTAATAATTCTTTTAGAATATTAAATGTAAGACAATTCCTAATTTTCTTCTTGGATTAGAGTACAAGCAAACTTAATTATATTCTATATTTCCCATATCTGGTTAAATCACAGTTAAAAGAATTAAAATACAGGCAGTATAAGAAAATCAATGAACTCCACATTAAAGAATGAAAAATGGTAGGAATAAGTCTACATTAAAACTTTCAAATCCTATAATAACAAACAAACAAACAACCTTGTGACAAGATCAAAATCATGGTGACTTTGGTTTTGAACGCAAACATCCCCCCCCCCCCCCCCACCTAATGACCTTCCATGATCTCTGCCGACCCTCCACAAGTCAAATCCATTTCTGAGATGGGGGCCCAAGAAAGTGGATTACTGTCAGTGGTAAGGTGATTATATACATGATGGTTTGCCAGAGTTGAACTACGGTTAATGCAGGATCTAAAACTATGGTACAAATCTCACATACTTCCCTTTCCTAATGTTTTATTTTTGGCATATATGAAGGCTTCATTCCATCTGTGAGCAGAAAACACTGCACAAGAAAAATCTAACTGGGGATCAAACTCAGTGTCTTATTACCAGACCACCAGGTCCTCCACAAAGTCATAGTACATTTTTATTTCCTCTGTTTTAATCTGAAATTCTTAGATATTAAAATTAATATTTTAGATACAGAATAAATCTTCCAGCACAAAAACAAACATCAAAGAAGACTGTAAGATGTTCAGTGTTCACTATCGTCACTCATTAGTATGTGGTAAACATAACCTTTAATTTGCTACACATCTTCAACTGTGGGCAAATTCACCAAAAATATCCGAGGGCCATTTACAAGAATTAAATTTTATATCACATAAACAGGAATTCAGCGCAGTTTAACCTGACACACAAGAAACCAGAGAGGTAGGACGTTTATGAAATTCTTAGGCCCGAAACAATAATTGTTATAGGAATATAAGTTGCTGATAATATATAATGACCATGACCTTGACACGTTGGGAACACACTGTCTAAGCATAATAAATGATCATAGAACATTCATACAGGACACTGGCATGATGACCACACTGAATTTTTTCAGTAAGAACATGTAATATTTGTAATTTCCAACAAAACGATATTTATGTAATTTACACACATGCTATACAATATTTCTCATAACGTAAATTTACCAAAGCCATGAAACAGAAAGACAATCATAATGAATGATAATGTTCCATTCGTGAACATGGTTTCATTAGTTAAGTGAAGCCTCCACATGGTTCTGAATATGCAGAAGATTCATTACAGTGAAACTACAATTCTAACTTTACAACTCTTGACTACGTTGCAAAATTCAAGAGTGTCACCATGCTTTGTTATTTAACAAACATGAGTCATTAATATAATTAACAAAACTAATATTGTACTCATATTGTATTTTAAGGAATGTATCAGAATCCTACATATTCAGACCCTCCTCATTCCTTCTCCATTACAATTAACAATTAAAAAGAATAATTTACTTTATGGATGGATGGAATATTGAGCAAAAATGCAGCAGGAAGAATGTTTTTTAGTCAATGTTATAAATTCTTGCTTGATCAGGATTTTGGTGTGAATGTGCCTAACTCTTCATTTTTTTTTTTTTGAATAAGCTCGTCAACATTCTGTGGATTTTGTGCTGAGAACACAAATAGTAACTCTCTTATGTATTATATTGTATAGTTGTTTGGCAACATGGTGCTGTTCTGATGTAGTTTCACACGACACGAAAACACGTAACTGTGATGCTGATTACAAAACAGAGAGCATTATTATGAATCACATCACACATTAAATTCAGTTTCATTTTAAGCGGTGCCATATGATTGCATGACTTATACGAAATTGTTCTTAAAGTAACGATACGCTAGACCGGCATATTCTGCGCACGCAGAAAATATTTTCTAAAAGTCAACTTGAAACCATCCTTGCGTAGAATAAAAAAGTTAATGAATACTTCTGTTACATAACATGAAACAGAAATAAGTTCAACAAACCTGAAGTATTAAAAACTTGTTCACCCAACATCTAAACTCAGAAGTGCATTAAATTATGTTATATGTACGCTAATACATATTGAATATTGGCACCCATTGCATTATTAGAACATGAGACAAATTTGAAACTTTGAGGCACAACAATGATGTAAAATGTGCAACATGTCACCTTTCATAAACCACGTATTAAGTACTTACAAAGAGCTGTCGGAAGGATAAATACTATTCGTCGAATGAAAAATTGCAACTTTTTTTTTATCCTTCCAAAATCAGCAAAAGCGGAGGGAGTGTATACTTACATACACACATAACATAACCTCCAAATACTTGGTGAGGTACACAATACAATATTAGTAAATCTTTCTACAGCACCATGAAACCAAAAGAACTGAACTACACCTTATAATAAAATAGCTTTCTAAATGCCCTGTCTAGTCCCAACTAAAAACATAAACAACATGTTTCAGTTATCTTCATTTTATGTAAAATATTTCCTGTTCTTTGTCTCTTGCAGATATTTAAATTTAATTGCAGCATTCAGCTTGACAAATATACATACTTTTCAAGTTTCGTCGCCAAGCTAGCATTTACACCTCAAATTTATTTTCTGGTACGCTTAAAAAGTTACGTTGTAATCTGAACAGATGCCAAATGCATGGATGGTCCCCTACTTATTGGAGCATTCTGCTATAATGAATTATATTTCACAAGCTGTTGCTCTAAGCCTCTGATAAATATGGCATAAGGTGGCAAGATGAAATCTGAGGTAAATATTCATCTCCCCATGACTAGAATTGATGTAGTTGTTAGCTGATCTTGAGGCGCTTTGTGGCTACTGGATGGTGGTTCACTTCACTATTTCCAACAAGCAGGGTTGTGGGAGACATCTTCCCTCCAATAGAGACAGGAACTCCCATAGTAAGAGTCATGCCCCCATTACACGGCCCTGGCTGGAGGTAGCCACTTACACTGGACGGATTGTTATTGTATTTCTGCATCAATAAAAACCACGTGCGTGTTAATGCAGTCAACCTGGGAGGTCTGCAAGGTAAATGTTAATTTAACCCTTAAATTTACTAAAACAATAAATTATATGAGGGATCAAAAGACTAAGGAAATTCGGTTACTTCGGATTTCACGAGACAGAAATTAGGACTCGAGATTCTCACGGCAGTGAGTATAAAGTTGTCTGCCTTCTGGGTTGTAGCGCTGTGCAGTCTGACAGAAGTTTACCAACATTTTACGTACACTAGCTGCCTCCTTCATCGTCACTCTGATGATGGAGGCAGCAAGGACTTCTGAAACACTGGTAAACTACCAGACTACATGGCACTACAACCCACAAGGCAGACATCAAAGAAATTTTAAAGTTTAACTAATTCTAATGTTGTTACATGACTAGTAATATTTATCTATAAAACTTATTTTCCTATGCATCATAACACTTGGAAAAATACTTACTCTATGTAGGTTTCTTTTTTACCGTTGTTCAAGGATAGAACTTCAACTTTTTATAATGCCTACTGTCAGCTCCTGTACAACCATGAACTTTCAGCATCTATGTACTGTATTTTTTCAGCAAAATTAGAAAGAAAAAAAAATATACAGACTGAAATATCAAAAAGACACACGCATACATAGATACTGATTAAGGTTTTTCACCTGAAAGTCAAGAACCAATTCATTAGAGGAATTAGGAAATCCTAAAAGCATCTTTAACTGCTGGGCACGTCACAAGATTCTAGCTACTCTGTCTAGTCCAGTCTGGATAAGTACAGTCAAACCTAAAAACAACGCCCTTGTATGTAATGCCAACCTTGCATTGAGCCCGCCCTCCTGCAGAGAATCTTGACATGCACTGGCAGTCATCTTAATAGGCATCTTACTTTCCTATGAATGTAAATTTTAGTGTAAACACTATACTTAGTGTTTCTTCCAATAAAACATAAAATATGTAACAATATATGTACTTACCTCTCCCATGACTGCAATCGGAGTCTCCCCTGTCTCCAACGCCACCTGGTGCTCGATAAGGAAGAACATGTATTCATCATACAACAGACGGATCAGATGAAAGGAGCCAAAGCTTGCCGCGCTTCGGAGGGTTAGGTCTCTGATGACCATTGAGCTGCCAGGGACAAAGAATGTTGTAGCATTCCATTTTACCAGTCTCGTTATTAAAAGGAACTAATTTTACAATTCCAGGGGCTAAAAAGCATAAAACTTTCTTACTTCACTGTAAAAATATATACTGTCCATATTACAAGCATTATTTCCTAGCAGCAGTACTTGGCAGTTCGACCACACGTCACCCTATATCTGGTTGGATGATCGTTCGCCAGCTAGTCGGCTTTGGCTCTCAGAGGGCCACGGATTATTAGTACTTGGCAGTTCACCACTTCATTTTCTACATTGGTAATGTCTTTTGTTTATACAGTATTATAGTTTTACCCACAAGCTAGTGACATAGGCGAAACGCACAGATCTGTCCCATCTACAGCATACTGTGGGAATTTAATGTCTTCAAGCACTTTCATTCAGTAAAATATTAGCCTTCAGCTATGACGACAACATAAAAGGAAGGGGGAAAAAAAAGTTTTCTTAGAACAAAAACTGAACATATTATGGAATACTGATGAACATGTGAGGACTCATATTTTCTTGGAGAAACAATTTGGATTACAAATAAAAACTGTTAATAAAATAATCAAAAACCATTATATCCCTGAAAAAAAAAAAATTGGTATGCATTCATGGGGGGAGAATAACAGATTATTTTCTGAACAAATACACTCATTCTGTGCAAAGCATTGACAGTGCTCGACACATGACTGTAACTCGTATCGTGATACTCTGAATTTTTATTTCTGGGAATTATATATTATAAAAATGTTCACACACTTCTTAGCACTTTGGTCAGCATTTCCAGAAATTTATATAATTTTCACCAATCCCATAAAGGTGTAAATAAAGGGTTCCACTGTTACTTATTTTGAAACACATTTCAACCCCTGCAAAAGATGGAACCCTGGTCGTCCAGTCCGAAGTTACCTTGACTCCTACCGTGCTACTATGCTTACCTATAAAATGACCATTTGAGTAAAAACTGTCTTGCGGCCTTGGCAAAGTTTGGTTTCCCTTCATAAGGTTTCAGCACCTGCGTAACAACACCCTTCAGCCACGCCGCCCACTCTTCCAAAGAACTTTGCTGTTGTAATGTCACCTTGAAGTCAGCTTCCAGTTGCTGCACCATTCCATCATCACACTGACAAACCCACGATGCCTAAAACAGTGATCCAATAATAATTCAACTCGAATACTTATAAAAATAAAGGAAAAAGACATGTGAACTGAAAATCAAGCTTATCATTTGCCAAAAACAATACAAGCAATTACTAATAGTATAAAATAAAGATGAAGTAAATACTCTTGTACAATGAAAATTAAAAGCATAGAAATTTCAAAATAAAAACTACTGTAATTACACAAAAAGATTTACATATTTTACCAGAAAAAGAAAGGAAAATCCACACTTTGAAAGTAGTATTGTTCAAGCCTTTACGATTTTTTAAGGCTCAAACAAATTCAACAGATAAATTTCATAACAAAATTACAGTAATGATACCACCGTCAAAGAAATTTAGAGAACAACCATTATTTTGCACATTTCCCCAATAATATTTTGACAAAATAAATATTTATTTTACACTTCAAACTGGGAGGTTTCTTTTTGTTTGTAAACTGTTGGAAAAACCCAGTCTAACAGTGATGATGCACTGAAAAATAAATGTTTTTAAAGGGGTTAAAAACACAGCCAACTAGCATTAACCTCTGGGTAAATCATGTTTTGAAACAAATTACAATACCAAATGTTCAGCACTACTGACAAAATTCTTATGCAGTCGCAAACAAAAAAATACCACCTTACGTTCACTGACCATACATATCTCTATAGTAATTCACTTAAATGGTACTTTTGCTTACCTGTTCTTGTACATTATGAAAATCAACTCGATTAAGGTCAACCAGCATCTGATTTATCTGTGCAGAGTTCTGAAGGACAGCACGCGCGGCTTGAGCGAGATGGTTTAGTGAGGTGTAGCGCCGTAAAGTCTGTGCCAAGGCACTAACGGCAGACACTTTGATGTTCACCATTTCCTCGGGGCAGCCTGTCATGGCTGCTGTCAGCCACGATTCCAGGCCTTTTGCAAAGTTGCGAATTACTTGCGTTAATGAACCTGAAGAAAACAAGAAAGTCCTGTAACACCATTTGAATAACCATCCTACTGGCAAAGGAAACACAGCTTGTAATAAACTGACTGATACATAAAGTCTTAAATATCATTGTGAGAGATTCAAGTTCTCACAGTGGCAAGGATGAAGCTGGGTGTCTTCTGGGTTGTAGCACCAAGCAATTTGTTGGAAGTTTACTGACATTTCAGAGGTGTTTGCTGTCTCCATCATCAGGGTGATAAGTACCTCCAAAACATCAGTAAACATGTACTAGACTACACAGTGACAGAACCCAGGAGACAGCCATCTTCGTAAAGGTGAAGCAAGCCACTATCCCCACCCCCACTGGGACCTTACTTTCAAAAATTAACGAGAACTGTAAAAACAGCATATCACACAGACTTGCACACGTACAGTGACCAACACACCAACATAATTTCACAAAAGGAATATGTGTATCCTGAACAGGCAATTTCATACAGGTATATTCAGTGACGATAACAGGCCACAATGTCAACTGACACTTTTCCGATAATTTGAAGTCCATCCTGTCTTATCGGGACTCTTCAGATAATATCTTTCATATTGATAATGCGCAATAGTTTTCAAACCACTCCTTTTCAAGCTGTCTGGAACTAATCCTGTTTCTTACGTTATATCACTGAAACTTGCTTGCAGATATTATCCATCTCTCGTTGACTTAACATGTTAAATGCATTAAATAAACAGAAATCACTCCATTCTTTTCACTGCACCAAAAACAGGGAGCAGTTAAAGTTGGTCCTGTACTTAATTAAGCTCATTCCATGAAGATGTATGGGGGAATGGAAGTTAAATCCATTCTCAACAAGTGTACTAGCTTTGCTTTGTGGGAAGGAGCCCCCAGGACACACTGGATAGGTCACAGTGGCAAAGAGACAAATCTCTTCCTCTACTTTCAAACACGAATATTTCAGTCTATATCCTAGTCATGATACTGCCTGATCTAACCAAATAAATCATATTAAAAATGTCGTACCCATTGAAATGCAGTAAGATATATTAGAAGTAGAAATAAAACTTTAATATTTGGGAGGAAAATGGTCTACTTGCACCAGGCATAAGTCATGTAGATAAATGAGGCAAAGACTGAATATTATAAAGACAATATTTTACTCACTTGGAATTGGCCTAAGGACATCTGGAATGAGAACTTCGACTAGATTCTGATAAAAAAGGTAATCAACGCGTCGGACAAACTGTTGGACCGGCCCACACTTGGATAAAAGATACAGCTTTGTTCTGAAACAATGATATTTTATAATATAAGTACGGAGACAGAGCGAGCTGTTCGTGAAAACATGTCGGCCACATCACTGTCATTTCTATTCGATTTAGACGCTATAACATAAGCTCTCAACATATAACATATCTTTGTTAAAAGAAACGATCAGTTTCATTTTTTTCTTTAACTGATATATGTTTCATGACACCTGAAAACTACAAACTGACATGCAATAAATCACATATTTTCAAAATTTGGCACTTGGTAGAAACATCTAAAATTTTCAAACAGCCAAAGACTAAAACGCGTAAAAGATATTCTGTAACGATGTGCAGAACTCTAATGAATAAAATTTAAACATATTAGTAGGCTGAAGTTTTATTCATGGAAGAACCAGACAGAAATTTTTACTTGTAACAAAAATGCATATAATTAACTCTCATGCATTTACTCTAAAGGTGTACACACACAAATCATGACGTACACTATGTACATATTACCAACAAAAAAATATAACCCCTTCGCCAATACTGGGCGTGCACTGAGAGGAAATTTTCACTAAGAGAGAGTATATTTTACACAAAAAAAGGTCACATCTAAGGAAACAAATACAAGAGACCCCCATTATATTAGTCTGTGGGGCAAACTGATTCAAATATTAAACCTGTTAAAACCTTAAAACATACTTGGACAAATACTTCTCTTCTTCACATTCGTCTCCATTGTTGTTATCCTGACTTCGCCAAAATTCTCTCCACAAACTCTCAACTGTTTGGAATTCCAGGTTCAGTACTGCATCCAGGATTGCCTGTATAATGAAGAAAAAACATAAATACAAGAAGATTTTTGTCTTCTGGGTTGTTGCGCCGTGTTATATGACGAGAACCAGCACAATTTTCTGTCAGGAAAAAAGTACGTGGTTAACCTCTGACAGAGCTTAGTGGTGATGAGATGGAAAGAGGAAATCTTACGCAAGTCAGATAAAGGCACGAAAAAATCTTATCTAGTTATTAGGCTTTGTGAGGATGGGATGAAATTTTACTGAATAAACAGGCCCATAGGAGCAGAAGATAAATTCCGCACTGATATACTGGGCAGCAGTCGTTAAAACGCTAACAGAAAATTACCTCACAATGTTCTCTGTAGATACTACGTAATGTGTCCACATCTTCCAATGTGCAGTCCTCGGGTAGGACAAGTCCTGGCGGAAATTCTATTTCTGGAAAGTCAGGTATTGCTCCTGAACCATCACCTAGGAACTGATGGTGATGAGGATGCTGTAAGAATCAGAAATTATGAATGCACACACACAGAGCAAGATGACATTAATACATATCACGTATCAAACTCATGTATAATCTGAAGTAATTGTCAATCTATATTGGACAATATATCACTTTAAAGGCTTCTCAATGCAGAACATTTAGTTTGATTAGTTTGTAATTAAAAATTAAGAACTGTATGTACCATTAATTTAAATTATAAATGCACAGTAAGCAGTCTGAAATTCTTTGGATAGTTTGTACGCTGCTACAACTCATCTAAAGACACGGGAATGCAAGCCGTTTGAGTAAACTGGCTCAAGAAGCAGTCCAGACACCAGATACGAGGTTCAGCACCGTGCGTCAAAGCTCGTGATACACACAGTTCAAGTTCCGAAGACATTTACTGTACCCAGATAAAAATGGTATGTAGTTACAGTTTTCTGTCACGTCTCCAAAACTTGAATCGCCCTGAGCTGTACCTGTGGTGATGAACTTGAGTGATTCGAGCTGGCCGAGTGATTGGTATTTTGCTCATACTGGCTTTCTATTTTCTGAGCACCACCATTCCCATTACCACCTGTGCCTGACAGCAATTTATAGCGTTTCTGTGATGACGGTTGCTGGCGACCACCTGATGACGTTCCGTCCTCCGACAGCTGGTTTAATGCTGATCCAGGTATTACACGAATCCCATAATAGTGATATCTCGAATTACCCCTGCAATAATAACGGTTAGATATTTATACTACATTCTACTATTTCCCTATTCAGCTACATGTCCAGATATTAAAATGATGTGCCTTAGTAAAACGTGTATAAAATTCTAGTATACATGTAGACAATTCTTCTAATTCGGCAGAGCTTAGTTCTTATTGTAAAACATTTCTGACCCTGAATCAATTACATTCAATATGCGTGACATGTAAAGTAGAGGTTACATCAAATTAATATGAAACAAAATATACATGATAATACTTGCCTTGTTCCAAGCCTTCTGGTTCTCAAGCCAAGAAAAACAGAACGGATGAGCTTCCCAAACGATGCCGCATTAACAGGATCTAATTTGTTTTCGCTGCAGTGACGGAGGTAATGGTTGTACAATGTAGAACGAGGGAGGCTCACGCCCTCAGCCACTTCATAGTTTTGCACCAGCCATTGAACCTGCATTCATACAGTAAGGATAATATAACACAAGTGCCTCATTATGATTGATTACTAGCAAGAGAATAATCTGTAGAAATGAGACACATATAAAAATAAATATACAAAACAAAGACAACAAATTATTGGTATTATTAGCCCATAATATAATACAATATTTGAAAGTTAAGGAAAGCAGGTAACATACAGTAGGTAAAGACCCATAAGGAACAATATTCATGGTACTTTTACCAATTTCATATTATACAAAATTTGGTCTACAAATGCATGCACTCAGATATGTGAATATATTCAAATGACAATATAGGAATTCTGTGAATATCGTATCACCTTTTAATTCAAATATACCAAAGACCCAAAGTTTCAAATTTATCAAACCATGACTAATGTCTCATTGATGTCTTCTAGCTGTTAATTTTTATCATTGCCATTATACCACATGCCTTGAATGCAAGTCTCTAAATATAGGCAATTTCAAATATAAGTGTATAAAATTTGAGGTTAGAACTGTTCTAGATGGTAATTCATAAAAGTTTTACATTTCATAGCAGTTTTAAAAAAATTCAAACAAAGGAAAAAGCATGATAAAGAGACAGTTCTCACATATATCTGCATAACACTGTGAACTGGCTGACAATACGGAATGTGCATACATCAAGATAAATGAGAAACATGGTAAGGTGGCCAAGAAAAGCAACAAAATTTTTAAATCTGCATTTAGTCAGATGCTCTCAGCTGAATGATAACATTTGAGTGGTGCGTTCAATTTAAGAAGGCCAGTTTTCCATCAAACATTATCAAACCCCTGCCCACACATCATTTCACACTGATGAAACAATCATTCATGTTCATGATAAAAAATGTAGTGACAAACAGAAAATATTTTATGTGGACAATCTGAAACATCTGAGGTATAAAGCGTAACGTAAAATTCCCAAAAGATTTAAGTTAATTTTGTGGCTGTAGCATCAGCGCAATGCATTGGTAGACTTCATATGGCATACAGGAACTATTGACTGCTTCCCCACACATCTTCAGAATGTGTTAAAGATCATCCAACGTGCAACCCTGAAAGAAGGGTACCAGAAATGCTTCAATGGGTGTAACGACTGAAGGATATCAACCTGAGAAACAAGTATGTCGGGTGATGCAAGGGGGTATGCGGAGTAAGAACATTCTTTCAGAACAGTTCTGAACTGTCTTATTTTCACGGAGAAAGGAACAAAATATTCACCGATAGGAAACCAACAAAATTATTGGTTTTCAAGCTTCTGCTATTACTTTGGGACTGAGATCAGACTTTCAGGTTAGCATTAACAAGCTTAAAAAGTGTGTTCCAAACCAGAATACATAATATCCTCATACGTTCCTTGCAATGTGTAGAGGCATTAAATCTGCCTTATTTGACAGTTCTCACTTTGGTCACCAGATCACAGAACCTCAGTGTCTACCCCATGATTTTCCTCATTCATAATTTTGTTATCACTGCTTGTAGAATATTCAAATTACGATTCTGAGGTCATGCAGAATAGCACACATCAAATCTCATCCAAATCTGTCCAGTGGTTCTCAAGTTGGACTGGACAGATGGAAAGAAAGACACGACCAGAATGATTGCAAAATAATGAAGGCTGTCATTACAGAAATTTATCCATGTAACCCACGATCATTTGGCCTTGAAATAGCTTCTTTCAGGAGTAAAACATTTGATAATCTGCTGGTGTTAAATCAGAATTGCAAACAGATGGTGTCTGCTCTTCCCGAGTTCCGTAAATTCAACTCTGTCCAATGGTCATAGACGGATAGCATGTTTTTATGCTGCATCTCTTAACACCACAACTGAGCGGTTATCACTCCTACTCTGAAGTCTGGAAATTCCAAGATTGATCTTGGCCCAGAGACAGCTATCCTGAGGTTTTTCGTGGTTCTCCTCAGTCCTTACAGGCAAATGCCAGGATAGTACCTTAAATTAGGCCACAACTTCTTCCTTCCATAACCTTTCCGATTCATTAATCATCCAATCAATGACATTATAGTCCGAGCTACTGACAGCATCATTAATCAAACAAATAAATATATAAATTATGCTCTATCAACTAAAAGAGCAGTTCAGCCTCACATCATGTACCTCGCTTGGTGGGAGAGATTGTATAGCTCCTATTCATTCTTGACCTCTGCACTAAATAGGGGTTAGTGGTCAGCACCACGCCCTAGTTGCACTTTACCCCTGGGAAAGGACCCTGGTACCCATTGGATAGGAGGCTGGGTGGGCCTCAGAGTCAGTTGGACACAGAGGCTAGAGGAAAAAATCCTCTGACCCCGTCGGGGATCGAACCCCGGTCGTCCAGCCCGTAGCTAGTCACTATACTGACTGAGCTATCCCGGTTCCTGTGCTCTATCAACTGCATAGGATATTTACCAACAAAGAGCATGAGAAGATGGCCACATTCAGTGAACTTGAAGGAATGGCAGTGGGCATGTTCCTGACTCATCAAGGTTAGGTTGTCAGTATTTGCTTGAAGAAACTGAGGAAGACGTGAAATTTGAAAATGGGACATTCTGAATATTACCGCTTCAGCCGACTTGTTCAGGTGGCAGTCACAAAACTTGACACCATTGATGTTAATTCTACAAGGTGTCCCAAAAATGATGACACGATACACATACTAAAGCAACGACATAATGGACCAAGTATCATTACGACCTTCTCAGTTCTAGAAGACTCATGACGTTTCCCACACCATACTCGGTCTACCCATGGTTCTCTAGTTCAACCAAAGGCTAAAACTTGATAACAACACTGAAGAAAATGAAGTATAAGAAAAGCTGTACCAGTCCACAGAACTATTCACTGCAGAGAAGACAAAGGTCGGACAAATGCATCGTAGTCAGGAGAGATCATGTGGAAAAATGACACAATGTTTGTGCTGTAAAGAATACATTAAAGCAGACAGATACAATTACAGCATACAAAACAACACGGAGCAAAGTCCTTCTTGAGATAGTAACAGTAAACTTAGCCCCAGTCAAGAAATTCCTCACATTTTATGTAACCTGATGGTTTAATACCATGTTCACAGGAGCCCATATACAGCATACATGCAAAGAAATATGTGGTGTAGACAGGAGATTAATGCAACTATCAGCATAAGAGAATAACTGCACAATTTATGTTTCATTATGAATTACAGTCACTACAGGCTACAGTGGTCAGAAAATCTTCATCGATTTCTACAAAAACATCATCTCGCAATGAATGCATAATATTAATCACTTCACACATTCAAAACTACAATAGTTTTATCCATTAAAAACATTTTTCTTTGCGAGATTTCAGGTTCTCATGGCAGTGGGTAAGATGACTGTCTGCCGAGTTGTTGTGCCATTTAGTCAGGTAGAAGTTTACAGACGTTTCAGAGGCATCCGCCATCTCATCTCCCTGATAATGGAGACCGCAAGTAGCTTTGAAAGTCTTTCCTCCCTTCTGCGTAACATCTTTCCAACTTGTTGCCCATTCAGACCTCCATCTTTGTCCTGAGCATTTTTCTTTACCTTCGTGTTCAAAATCCTGCTTAGGATTCTCTTAATTCGTTCTTAAAACACGCACATACAATCCTATTCTATTTTTGTAAACTTGCCTCCCAGTGTTAATCTCAGAATATAATTATTTCTTTCTTATTCCTTCTCCTTTAATTCTTCTGCTTCATCATACCTGCATCTTTATTATATTCCACGGATTCAAAAGTTAATCATATGACACTAGGATGTGGAATGAGTCATAATAATAAATACACATTAAAAGTACAACTCACACTATTATAAAGATTTCACATATTATAAAACAGGGTTCACATAAAGTAGTGATATGTTACAAATACATCTAGCAATTATATACAGTACATAAATTATACTACCCATTTATATTATACGAAAACCTTAAGAAACATTATGACCTATTCGTAAAAATCATCAACAGACTAAAAGAAGTATGTAATTAAGTATCTTTTTAACGCTACTTTAAATTGTGCTCTTTTATTTATAAGACTAATGAGACTTGAAGGCACACTTGAAAATGTTGATGCCTACATATTCATTCTTCTGACAACACGAGAAGTTGGCAATTGGTCTATGAAGCTGATTCCTATTCCTTGAGTTTGCATTGTGTAAATAAGAATTAGTTTGAAAATGTTCTTGGTTGTTACAATACTTCTTATACTGAGACAGCTCAGTAAGAATAGTAACAAGGTAATGGGTTGGAAGATAGGGGTTCAATTCCTGGCAGGGGAGAAAATTTCTCTTCCCCACAATATCCATACCAGCTCTCGGCAACATACGAACTCACCCACACTTCTACCCAATGGGTGTCAGGGTTCTTTCTTGCGATAGAGCAGTCGTAGTAAGAGACTACCAACTTCCATCTAGTTCCAAGGTTAGGAATATGTGGAGCTGTACCTCAACAACCCATGTCTGTACTGTGGTTGTTACATAAGCACCAGGGACTGCTCTAAAATTTTAAGGAGTGTAGATGGAAATCTACAATCTTTAAAATTTTAATTTTTTCTGCAATAAATCTACTAACATCTGCCATGGTCCATGTCTAAATTTCTACTCTGTATGTTAAGATGGGCATGAGTCACTTGGGCATTTCCGATTTCCAGAGCGCATCCCTCGGACATTCTTTGCACACTTCCTTTTTTGCCAGTTTCGTCTGCCACTATTTCACTTTCTAATTATTTAAAACTCCCTACATACAAAATTTTACCTTTCTGATGTACTCCATTTTCTGACTTATTTTCATAACCATACACCTTTATAAACTGATACTTTATCCAAAATATTTAAGAATTATTATTATTACCGTGTAATTTCTTCTCCAAGATGCTTTCATTTGGTTCCCGTGTTAACTACATATATATTTTTGTTGTATATACCATACGTTTGCACTACACACTTGTCTTTCTGTTACTTATTACTATACCCATTATAATATTGCAGAGCATGCGACATGAACCACTTCCCTGTTTAACGCTTATAACATCTAGAAGCTTTCAAATATCATGCCGTCGATGACCACATTGTTTATCCATTTCATAAATGTTCTTTATTAACCATTCTCCTACCTGCAAACACCTGTCCTGTGTAACACAATTATGTTATCATAATCCTTTTCTATATCAACAAAAACTAAACATGTATTATTGCCAAATTCCAATCACTTTACTTTCCACCAGCCTTCTAAGTTTGATGAAAAATTTTCCTTTGCATGTTAGGTAGGCTCTGCAATGTAATGTCTGCATTGTTTATATCTCTTTTCTTAAAAATTCACATCATCAGGACTTTTCCCCACTTATTTCTTACTACTCTATATGCACCCTCACATAATACTCGCCCCTTTCCTATAATTTTTTTCAACATTAAAATATACCTTTCACCAAAATACAGATCTCAATAACTTCAAGAATTTCAACTGGGTTTCAAATGTTAATTAAAGAATGTAATATTCCCTCGTGATGCTATCACTGTGCAAGATTATTTCAACATGACACTTCTAAATCACTGGACATGTCAAGCAGATCGCAGACTGCGGGTCTCAAGATTCTCCACTTTAACATTACGTTATAACGTGGGCAGAGTTGCTACAATCCTATCCCGCTATTCAACCAAACAGACCGAGTGAGACTTTATGACCACCTCGTATACACTGTGAGCTCAAGTGCGTTAAGAAACGTCAAAATGTTAATAAAAACAATGTAATTAAATAAATAATACATTTCTCTGCAGCTGTTCTCTTAGACAACATCAAATTCAAAGCGCTGTTAGTGTAAGAAAGAGAAACGTGTAATGAACAAGACTGAGACAGCAAGGGACTTACAGTGGCCGGCGAGACACGGGTGGTGTGTGAGAGGTTCGGATGCCCTTCACCATCCAGAGAAGAAGGGTTAGTAGTTGAAGTCCCTGGGACTATATACGCCACCCCACCAGCATCCTGACAGAGTGAGTGAAGGAGAGCATACCTGTTAGTTGCTCGTAGCGCTTGGAGAGGAAATGGAAGACTGGCCGGGTAAGGAACACACTAAACATGCAGAGAACATAACATGTTACAGAATTCCCACTCCTCATAGAAGAAATAAACATAACAGGATACCAAAGGTCTCAACAGAACTGAAAAAGCCTTCATCCATGTCTTTGAAGAGGAAAATAAGTGTTGTGAGTATGAACGCATGAAAATTATTACTCATACTCAAAAAAAAAGTGCACACACACAAACACACATACACGCGAGACCTTGAATAAGTAACGAGACTGAATCTATAAGAACTAAGATACTGTACTTACAGGGACGAGTCAATCCCTTGTAAAGTAGGCTCTTTCAGCAAGTACACCAGGGGTTCTCAACCAACAGCTGTTCTGTCACACCATCAAAATATTTATCTTTCAAGGCTCTACAACTTACAGGAATGTAAAAAAAAATACAGTGAATGATATCTAATGAGCACCACAGCTGTCATATTTATCGAATACTGAGCTTAACACAAGCTGTAATGAGCAGGCGGGTGCACTGTTACGATGAATTTGTCACTCACTGGATTCCCGTTTCTGTGATGCATAATGGAAACCCAATGTTTTAAATAGACGAACACTTTTCAGAAAAGCAGAGGGAAAGTTATAAATGGCGTATTCTGGATTCTGTTTGTCTAATTGCATCGTGAGAGCAACCAGAAAAACTGGCGTGCCAAGACCTACGGCAATTCCTGCTAGGGCAAACATGCCAGTAAAATTTCTTAAAATTTCTAGATACCTTCTTTTCTAAAAGTCATTATATTCTCTCAAAAAATTGTATAACTTGCATTTTTGAAAAAGGGGAATTTGGCTCCTTTCATTCCTTTATTCAAACATCTGACAACACAGTGAGACCATTATAAAGTACCAGAAATAAGGAGTTAAATTTCCCACAAATTGTCTTTCCATATACATACAAATGTTGGTTAACAGTAACGTCTTGTGAAGCATACTCATGATGAACACCACAACAAAATGAGAAGGGAATTTTCATTGAAAAGATCGCTGCTTAATTTTGGGGTCATAATGACAGACTCGTTTCTCATCATATATTACGTTAGGTTACGACACTGTTCAGAAATGTAATTCAGAAGCCTACAGATAAGCAATTTTTTCTTCCCTTGTCCCAGTAACTGTGGAATAATCTTGGCTGAGAAAAACTTCATTTCCAAGTCTTCATTAGCTTGATAAGAACCCTATACATCTTCAGCCATTTCACAGAAAGTCAAATCTGTAATTTCATAATAAATCGCACAATGACAGAGCCACTCAAAAATTAATGCTTGGCTCACTCCAAGTAACATGTTAGCCCCAAACAATCAGACATTACATCAATTATGCCAGAATAAGATGGTCAAAACCATGTCCCGCACAGTGCGATTTAAGACGTGAATTCAGTCTCGATACTTTTCCCTCCGATCTCATATATATACGAACACAAACCAAAATCCAATGTAACTTATGCAATTAATCATATGCCTATTATGGTTAAAAAAATGTAGAATCATAAAAATATAAAACGCTCATGGCCTGGACAATGCAGGCTAAATTTGTTCTTAATATAAGCTCAATACACACCTAGGATATTTTCATATTAAAAAATGATATAATAAACTGGGTAAATAACAATTTTTCCAGAAAATTTTCCAAAACGTTGGGCCTAACCTTTATTTTATACTGAACACGAACTGTAACCTAACATAAACGCAGACCATTTTATCAAGTAAAAAATAAAAGAAATTTATATTCCTCTAATAGTGTAACAGAAGTTAGCAATAAACAAATGCAGGATAACAAAAGGTTAAACAAACAAACATAAATTGTAATACATTTAATTGACTCTAATAATTTTACAACAAAAAAATAAAGATACAAGTAAATATATGATTAGAACAGACTGTAAATGTTCGTGTAATTCCTGAACACCTTGACTGTTATACTGAGGGAAAAAAATTCCAAAGGAAGACTCATTAGAGGCTCATGAGCCACAGTTTGCACAACTTTGATCCAGAAATTCTTAGTTGTAGAGATAGCTGATATGTAAAAGGTAATCTGCTTTATTTGCTACATCTGTTCGGTATGAATATAATTTGGTAGTGCTGTTATACTTTACTTCCCTAAAACAAGGTTAATTGCACTCAAACAATATTTGCACAGCCAAGTTTGCAAAGAATGTAGATCAGCTCCATCTCCTACACACAGTATTATACACCACGGTAGGCTGACTTACAGCTGTTACTGTCTGCGGACTAGCTCTCTGGGCGGCAATGAGGGTATGCGCAGCATCTGGATCTATGCCTTGCTGGATGAGGTAGGCACCGTTCCCCTGAGCCAGCAGCTGACCTGCAGTAGTTCCCTGTGTCAAATTACTTGCCACCTGAAACGAAGTTTTCCATTTTGAAGTGGCGGATTAAAAACAGGCTATATAAGCAATCACCGCTCACACATTTGTTGTCGTTAGATTTTCGCCGCTTGATTTCAATGTATAACTTTGTCTGTTGGGGATGAGCAACATCAAATGTTAAAAATTATGTTTCAGCAAATGTTGCAGTTACCATCTTCAGTTCTTTGCCTGAAACATGGAATTACTAGTCTCACAGTTATTATTATTATTATTTGGTGTTCTGTCTGACGACAGGTCCATATGAACAGGATCCTTCCATCCTTTTCTCTGGAAGGATAGAGGGACTGTGGAAAAATCACAAGAAAAATTTCAGGATAGCCCAGTCTCCAGGCCAAGATCTAAACCTGGGACCTCCTGAATATGAAGAAGTGCTAACCACTCAACCATGACGTTTGGTGTCCCCACATACAAACTGAAAAAAATTACTACTCTTGCCATGTTGCTCAGAACCAACCTTAGAAGCAGATTTACGTTGCGTTACACTTTACCTGACTATATGTAACTGCGGTGGTGTTCCCGGAGTAGTACTGGCCAGATGCTGGGGTGTACATTGTCCCAGTTTCGCCCACTGTGTACACTGGGTATGCCCTGCACAGCAAAAATACAAGATAATTACAATGAGCGCTATAAACAAGGTTCCTTGCTATTCTGTACCTCTATATAGTACTAATATTCATATTCAAGTATTTATACCCTGAATATGAAGGCAGCAGGTTCCTTCAAATCACAGATGACTACAAGGCATCACAACCTAGACCACAATCCAAACTATGACTTCAGTGAAAACTCATGAGATCTCAAAATCTCACAAGATTTCTGTGCTTCTGCTCATCAATAATGCTTACATCTGTCCATTGGTGGCAGCATATATGGCCTGG